AGTTACGGCATTCGGGCTTGCCGATGAGGAGGGGCCTTCCTACGAACAGTTCTCCCACCTGTACAACATCACCAAATCGAAGAGTACCGATCATGGTGACTGGGTCCAGGCGAACTGTCTCAGGGCTTCCGAAAGGGGCCATTTTCTTACGGCAGTGCCAACCTCCCAGAAGTCCTGGAGGAATCCGCGGGTCCTCCTCTCTGGCGATTGGGAATCGCCCTCAGGAGTTCCCGATCGCTTCCATATCCCAAATACCTTTCAGATAGCCGGTAGGTTGCTACCATGCCGTTCGGTAGATCAGTTTTTTTTTTCCAATGGACTAACCTCTTTTGTTATTTTTCACCGTTCCTGCAGTGTCAGAGGCCAGAAAGACTGTCGAGGTTAAGAAGCTCTCCGAGACCTCCAAGCGACGCCTCCTGGTGATTGCCAAGGGGAAGAAACAGAAACGGCAGCCAAGGGCCTCTGCCGAGAGGGTCTCGGAGGCAGACGTCGAGGAGCAGCCAATTGCCGAACGGCAGAGGCAACGCCAGGCCGAGCCTGTGGTTAGAAGGGCGCCGGTGGAAGAACCGGCACTTGGTCCGAGGCAGGGTGCCGAGGCGCCTACCTCCAAGGCATTCGGGAAGCGGCCCGTTCAAGTGGATCTGGATGCCGTATCCACTCCTAAGCGGGCGCGGCTGGCCGATTCCCAGAGGGCCATCTTTGCCGTTGAGGAGGAAGGGGGGCCTACCGAGGCGGTCACACTAGCCTGTCCTTCGAAGACGGTCCAGTTTGCGAACCACATGATCGTGGGTTCGCAGATGGACCTTGCTGAGATCGACGATCTGCCGAAGAGGGCTCTTCGGGAGGAGGCTGGGCGCGCCTTCCGTCTGCAGGCCACGGTAACCTTCGAAATCCAATCGTGCTTTTGTCAATAGTTATCTCCCGTTTGATACTGACTTGTGGCTGTATTTTTCAGGCGTCGATGGACATGTGGCTGTGTATGAAAAGAGCCATCAACGCTGCCGAACGCGCGAAACGGCTCTACGAGGACGGCCGCTCCAAGGTTGCCGACGCCACAAAGGCACTCCAGGACCACGCCAACCTGGTGCAGGATATGCATGCTGCCGAACGGCAGATTCAAGCGCATGAGGCAAAGCTTGCCGAGATGCGTGAGGCTCTGGACGGCGCTGAGCAGGCGGCCAGGGATGCCGAAGGAGCGAAGACGGCGGCGCAGATGGCACTGGAAGCGTCCGAGCGGTCGAAGGCAGCGGAGATAGAGGCTGCCGTTAACGAAGCCATCAGGGGATACCGTTCCTCCTCTGAGTTCACCTCTCTGGTGGATAATGAAGTGGCTTCGGAGATGGCGGACCTCATCTACCGTTTCAAGCGGTTTAACCCGGGCCAGAAGCTGAACTTGAACTTCGCTGCCGATCCCCCTCCCCTACCGGAAGGCATCACAGAAGAGATGATCGAGGAATATGAGGGGGAAGATGCCCCTGAAGGTGCCGAGGGTCCGGATGCCGAGGATGCCCCTGACGCGACCGTCGATGCCGCGGTTGAGGCCACCGAAGACCAAGGAGGTCGTGCTGCCGAGGCTTGAGCTGTATTTTTATAATAATAATTTTTGTACTTTAATTGCCGTTGGCAACATTTCCGAACACATTGATGCCGAGGGCATCTTTTTTCTTTTAATTCAAGTCATTGTTACTTTTGTTTGACTTTGAGTTTTTCTCATATTCGTTACTGCCGTAGGCTAATAACTGTTTCTAGGATAAGTGTCTCTACTATCGGTAGATAAAACCAAAGGAAAAAAGCCCCACTAGCCTTTCGTCCACAGGGATGCCGTAGGCAAGTTTAGGACACCGTTTCTAGGTTTCGGTGGTTTGTCTGATGAGAACTCGGTACCGCCGTTGGCTCGTACCCTTTAGTCGAGACTCAAGTACTGCAGGCATCTGTAGAGACATGGTCCCAATAGCATTTCGTCTATAGAGATGCCGTGGGCAAGTCTAGGGTACCGTATAGGTTTGTAGTCCATGCGTGATGAGAATACCGTAGGTAATTCTAGGGCATTGTACTGCCGTAGGCTCGTACATACTGTATTAACTTGGAATAAAAATTGACAAGCTAAGTTGGAATCGGCAGTAAGCATGTAGTGGTGTACTTTTAATTTCCGTAGGCAATGTTACTGTGGCTCATTTTGGTGAGCCCTACCGAAACAATTTTTTCGAACGGATACCGCTAGGATGTTACGTTCTGAATGCATGGAACTGGATAATCTCGTTTTATTCATATATGCCGTAGGCAAAAATACAAATTCCTCCCTGCCGTTGGCTAGGGGGCTTTATTTAAAATAACTCTTGAGATGGTCCACATTCCATGGGTGACCGAGGGTCTTCCCATCTGTGC